AGACCACAGGGGCCGCCCAGGGGCGAAGGGGCCGGCTGGGGCTCGGGCCAGGGCGGGAGCTGGGCACCCCGCCGGCCGGCCCGACCCGCTTCCCCTCGGCCCCGGGGCGCACACTTCGCGGCCTGGCGCACGGGCGGCGGGGCGGGGAGCGGGCGCGCGTGCCCATTGGCTGCCAGCCGGGTCGCCGGAGGTCCCGTGAGTAGACGGACTAGAGGGCTCGGCCCGTGGCCCAGGCCAGGGCCCAGCCCGGAGCGGGCGTGGGGGGCTTGCGGCCGGTGAACAGCGTCCCCCGGGCCGGGACAGGGCGGCACGCAGGGCGCTCCGAGGACCAGGACGGGCGCGTTTGGCACCGTCCGTCCGCCCCTCTGCGCAGCGAGCGGGCCCTTGGTAGCCAAGATCCCCAGTCTGGGCCCTCAAGGCGGGAGCTTTCGGCCTCCCCGGACGTGAACCTGGGCCTGGATGGGCCGGAAGCCCCTGCACCCCGCGCCGCGGGCGGGTTTCTTCGCGCCGCCGCCTCCTGTGTAAGGGACGCTGAGGCTCCCCGCCGTGACCCCGCGCCCGAACAGCCGCTGAGGCCGGGTTTGGTCCCCAGCCCTGCAAACAAAAGCAAAAACAAAACAAAACAACCCTCTCACCCCAAAACCTGGCCAACCAAAAAGCTCGGAAAAACTGGAAGTTGAGGCATGCGCTTGTGACAGGCCACTGCAGTGTGACAGCTCGCTGCGCACCCTGGCAGCTTCCTCTCCCTGGCACCTAACTGTCCTCTTGGGCTTGTCAGAAAAATTACAGGAAGCCAGGTCAATTTGGATTTCAGAAATGCCACAACAGAAACGTTTGGCATAAGTCTATTTCATATTGCATGGGCTGAACTTAGGATGTGTTGTCAGGCAGCTGAAACTGAGAGGGAACTGAGAATTTAGTATTTCATTCCTAAGGAGGACAGCCCCACAAGGAGGTGGGTCCTGGTGCCGACAGGGATGCGCACATGCTCAGGATGGCCTTCAGAGGGCAGGCAGGTGGGCGGGTGTGACCCCCAGCCTGGACTGGCACGTCCAGGAAACGCTGCTGCCAGCACCACATCTGCTCCTCCAAGCACCTGACTGAGGGCAGAGTCAGGAGAACATTCGTGCCTCTCCCTGGGGTCCTTGGAAAAGACCTGGAAGAACCCACCCCAGGCCTGCACCTCACTCTCACCTGCTCGGGAACCCTAAAGCGGGAAGCCCCCTGACCTTGGAGACCTGGTGTGAACAGCTGCAGACCCAAACACCACTTCTCCATCCCTGGGGAGCAAGCTGAGGGCTCAGGGGTCCAGGAGCCATGGCTCCTGGGAGGTGGCCTCCATGCAGAGCGGGTGTGGGAAGCACGCCATCCCAGCACTGTGCTTACCGTGGTCTCCATGCAGCCTCTCATGACTTTCGAGATGCCCTGAAGTGCACGCCCATAGTAATCCCAGATTAACTCATCTCAAGGAAAATGAGCGGATCCAGCCTGCTCACGTGGCCCTCGAGGGACAGAGCCGGATGTGGGCCATGGCCCGTGGGCTTGGCATGGCTCCTGGGCCCTTGGCAGTCTCCCAGTGGGGCCTCCCTCCTGCGGCCCTGTATCTCTGCACTCTGGACAGTCACAGGGTCGCCCTGTGGGGACGCTGATGGACGGCCCTGCCTTGCCAAGTGAGAGGACCCCTGCTCTGGGCACTTGGCTTCTCTCCCTAGGGGCTCCCGGTGGAGATGAGGTTCAGTTCTCACTAACGCCCGGACTCTACGAATTTGGTCAGGTTTTCCTCCCTGAAGTACAAGCCGCTGTGGCCCATTCATTTCTTTTTTGAGTTGCTGGGGGTGGAAGCCAGGACCTCATGCTGGGTAATCGCTCTGCCACTGAGCTCCATTCCCTGCCCTGTAGATTTTCCATCTGAGAAAGGTGTCCACAGCCTGGAATAGGCCGGAAGAGTCTCCGTCACCTGAGTCCCAGAACAGGACACCGTTTGGCCTGCAGTGGAGAAGACCGTGGGTCCCCAGAGAACCATGGGCACCAGGTTCCACTCTCTCTGGAGCTCGAGAGGCTCCACTCCAGGGGACCCAGTGTCCCCAGCCTCGTGTTGTCTTGGGGAAGCGGAGCCATTTGGAGGAGATGGCAGGGAGGACCCCAAGGGGGACAGCTGTGCAGTCCCCAAGCAGTGGCCGGTCTGTGACTCATTAGCTGTGTTGCTCCAGCCTTCTCACTGAGGACACACGTATGTGGACACACACACATGTGCACACACACATACACGCCAGCTTCTCAACTCTGAATCAGCTTTGGCATCAGGCTGGGGCTTCCTGCAGGCTCTCATCACCTAAGTGGAGAAAGATACCTCTGCCCTTTGGAGAATTATCTTCTCACACATCCTGTTCCGTGGTTTGGAGGATTTGGGGGGTTTTTGGTACCGGGGATTGAACTCAGGTCCTTGCGCTTGCACAGCAGGCGGCAAAACCACTGAGCTAAATCCCCGGCCCTGGAGGATTTGTATTAACCGGAGCTCCCCTACCCTGTACTGGGAGTTGAACCCAGGGCCTCTGCACTCAGCAACATCCCCAGTCCTTTGTATTTTTTATTTTGAGACGAGGTCTTGTGGCTAAGTTGCCCAGGTTGGGCTCAAACTTGAGATCCTCCTGACTCAGCCTCCCAGAGTGCTGGATGAGAGGGGTGCACCACCACATCAGCTGAGACTTGTCTCTTATTCCCTATAGTACAGTCCCCTTTGTCCCCTATAGTTCAGGACACAGGTTTGGCAGCCAGGAGTGCAGGCTCATTGGGCTTTCTGATCCCTGCCACATGGCTCACTGTGGGCTTTCTCAGCAGTGCTGGGTCCTCCCGCTAGAGGACCCCTCAGCCAGGAGCCCTCTCCTCACCTCCCTGCATGTTCAGTGGCACGAGCAAGTGGCTGGGGACAGAGATGGAGACGAGGATCAGATGGCAGCCAGTGTGATCTCCCCTGCCAGGCTCATGAGGGGAGGCCCAGGGAGCTCTGGGGAGGGAGAGGAACGACTGGTGGCTCCTGCAGGCTGCCTCGGGCCAGGCACCAGAGTTAACTGAGTGTGTCAACTTGAGTACGGAATGCCCAGCCAAATGGGAGCTGCACAGTTCTGCGCGCAGCTGAGGGCTTCACTGAAGACGGGAGACCCAGCTGGTGTGTGTGGCACCAACCCCAGGGCTGTCGCCTGGAGGATGTAACAGGACGGAGTGGAAGTCTAGGACATCCTTATGTATCTCGTGTCTTGCCTTACCGCTGGGTCTTTCGGGAGCACTGACTGACACAACCTGGAATCACCTTTCGGCTCCCACCACGATGCAGTGCACGATCCATGAAATTTCCCACACACTGCGGGAGGCTGTAAAACGGAAGCTGTGGCAGCCACGCCTTCACGGGAGCCTCACCGGGGCACAGGCTCTTGCCTTTCTGAGCACCTCCTGTCCTTTCTGGCACCTGGGGCTGATTCTTTTTTTTTCTTGGAGAGAATCTAAGAACTTTATTCATAATAGCCCCAAATTAGGAACAGCCCAAATACCCACTAGCAGGTGAGTATACTAGCAAGTATACTAGCAAGCAAATCATCATACTTATGTAGAACAGAATACTGCCCAGCGGTACAAAGTGTGTGCTGTCGGTGTGTGTGACATCACAGCTAAGTCTCAAAAGGCCAATGCTAGCCGGGTGTGGTGGTTGCACACCTGTTATCCCAGCACTTGGGAGGGAGGCTGAGGCGGGAGGGTTGCTTCAAAATCGAGGTCAGCCTGGGCTGAATGGAGAGACCCTGTTTCAACAACTCCCTGCTCCAAAAATAACCCCCAGACCCTGCACAGTTGCATCTGGTCCCTGTTGATGGACATTTCAGGCTTCCAATTCCAAGCCACCCTGCCCTGTAGGAAGGCTGTGTGTGCAGCGTCCTGCGCTCTGCTTCTACCGAGCGGCATCAGGAACCTGAGGCACCTGTCTCGGCGGGGAGCTTCAGCTTTCCTACATCCTCCGAAGTGGCTCTGCCACGCTGCCTCCCTGCAGCACTTCTTAAAAGCCAGGCTCTGTCTGGGCTGCACAATCAGCACATTCATCCGGGCCCCTGGGACCTAGGTACGCCGCATCTGCGTCCTCTACTCCCCCCGCCCTTCCCCTCTCCGCAAAGTCTGCCTCCCGCTTCCCGTCCTCGCGCTTTGATTCTCCACCTTATTTCTACCTCGGATCTCCCTTAAGAGGAGCCCTGGGGTATTCACCCTCTGCCTGCCGTGTGTTGGGGAAGCGCGGAGCCCTGGACTGGTCCTTGCCTGTGTCCCGGCTCAGCACCTGCGGCTGGGTCAGATGTGACCCCGGATGGCGAGGAGCGATGGGCTGGGGTGGAGCCGATCTCCCGGGCCGCCCCGCTCGGCAAGAGCGTTCCCGGGGTTCCCAGGCTGCTCCACTCCCGGATTCTCCAGACCTGAGTCCCGGCCTTGACCTCCCGCACCGCCCTGCGGGGCTTATCTGCAAGGTCCCCTGGGGCCAGGTCGCCGTATCAAGCTGACCAGGCGCCTGCTGTTAATCTTCCGGCAGCAGAGAGGGCTGTGGCCGCGATGTCAGCGTCCAGGGTGACTCCGGGGGCTGCGCCTCGAGGACGCCCGGAGCGGGGCCACCCTGGTCAGGGCCGAGAGACTGCAGCTTCTCGTGTTCAGGGCGCTGAGCCTTGGGGTGGTTGTCAGAGCTGTTAACTCTCCTACGCTGGTACTTGCCCACTTTTCCATGGGGCCTTTGCCTTTTAAAGTTTTTTTCTAGCCAGGTGTGATGGGGCACGTCTGTAATCCCAGCACTCAGGAGGCTGAGGCAGGAGGATCGCCATGAGTCCAAGGACAATCTGAACTACATAGAGAGACCGTCTCAAAAAACAAATACCGTGCCTCCCTGGTAAGTGAAAGGTCCTGAGTTCGATTCCTAGTACCGGAAAAAAAAAGAAAAGAAAAGAAAAACAAATTTTTAAAAAGAAAGAAGAGGCTGCAGGGGCTGTCCTAGGGCTCTGCCTGACCCACGCTGCTCCCAAGACATCGCAGGCGCCCATTTCCCAAGCCTGAGGACAGACTCCGGGCCGGGTGGTCTGCCCCCACCGCTAGCAGCGCGGGCCGGGGTGGGCGTGGCCGGGGCAGGAGGGCAGGAGCCGGCCCCCCGCCCCGCCCCCGGGCGGCGCTGTCTACGCATCCAGCTCCGCGGGACGGGGCTGCGCGCGGCGCTGGGTCCGAGATGTCGGCGAGCAAGCGAGTGGCGAAGGTGAGCGCGCGTGTGGCGCCAGCAGCCCTCCTGTCCCCGGAGGGCCGGGCCTGCAGGGCCGAGCTGGAGCTGGGGCTGGGGACGCCCCGCGGCCCCCATCCCGCTGACCCTCAGCCGCTTTCGGTTTCCCTTGTGCCGCAAGCCTGTGGGAGACCGTGGGCTGAGCCAGGAAGTGGGGGACAGAACCAGCGGAGTGGGCACGCCTGTACCCCAGCACTGGGGAGGCTGAGGCCAGAGGGTCGCTGGAATTGGAGCCCAGCCTGCAGGACAGAGAGCCCCTGCCTCAACGCCCCCCAGCCCCAAGAAAAGAAACACTGGCTCTATTGAGCTTTCAGGCCACAAGGGACACAGCTGGAAACACATCTGGAAGGGGGCAGTTTCCCTGGGAAGAGGGTTGTGTGGGGACCAGGTGTGCCCGGGCCTAGTGCCGCAAGGGCCGCCCTGCAGGTGAGCCCCCCTCCCACCGCTTTCACTTTCGTTCCTGGAGTCAGGCGGTTCCCGGCAGGAGGCGCCGACCTTGCAGTCTGTCCAGCCTGGGCTTGGCTCCTGCCCCAGGCAAGGCGATGCTGGCGGCCGGGATGCAGAGTCTCGGGGTCCTTCTGGCTTGGGGACCGGGTGGACGAGGCCCCCACAGCACTGGGGACAAAGAGCGCCTCGGCTTGTCAGGTGGGGAGAGCTCGGACCCCGCGGAGGTGAAGTCCCCCACCCAGGCCTGGCTCTGGGGAGCTTTGTCTGTTTACCCAAGGGTTTCTCAACCTCCTCCCTGTCCACATTTGTGGCCAGACAATTCTTGTTTTCTCTTTTTCGGTGCTGGGTTGGGAACCAGGCGTTGGCCCCTGCTGGGCAAACACACCCACTGAGCTACATCCCAGCCCAGGTCAGATAGGTTTTCGGTTTGTTTTATGTAGTCCAGGCTGGCCTTGAACTCACTATGTGGCCCAGGGTGGCCTGGGACTCGTGGCAATCCTCCTGCCTCAGCCTCTTGAGTGCTGGGGTCACAGGTGTGGGCTGCACTGTCAGCTGGGCCAGGTAGCTCTTTGTAGGATATTGATCAGCATCTCTGGCCCACGCTCACTAAACTCGAGCAGCCCTGTCCCTGTGGATGACCATGAGAAAGTCTCGATGTTGTGGAAGGTGCTTTGTGCCCACCCACTGCCCCGGGAGACGATGGCTTGCCCCTGATTGCTTGTTATCCCCTCCCTCCCTCGAGACACAGAGGCTTGGTCTCACAATGGAGCCCCAAAGCAGTGTGGCTCTGTAGGAGACGCTGCCAACAACCACAGCCAAAGGAGGAAGGTTCGCTGGCTCACAGTTTCAGAGGGTTTGGTCCATGCTTGCTGGCTCCGGGGCAGGAGCACCATGGCAGGAGGGCCTGGTGGAGCAGAGCTGCTCAGCTCCTGCTGGCTGGGGTGGGCAGAGCAGGGCAGCAGCGGCAGAGAAACATAATGGCCCCCAAGGCCTCACCCCCCTGGTCCCCAGCATGCCTAGGAGTGTGCCCTGCTCATCTGCTGGTGCTTTTCAATCCCGGAAGCTGCCAGTTCGGGAGTAACAGTCACAGCTTCCTTGGTTCACGCCTTTGAGAAGGATCCCGTGCTGCAGGGCTGAGCTCCACACCACAGCTGTTCAAGGCCTGGGGAAACCCTGTGGGAAGAAAGCATTCAGCCAAAATGAAGCTTGGCTGTGGAACCCTCGTGTAGTGACTGGTGACCTTCCAGTGACCCTATGATGCCTGTCCCCTTCGGACACGGAGGACTCCTATTCATCCCGCGTGGCCCAGCTCCCAGTGTGAGGCCTGTGCCGCCTACCCCGCCCCGCTGTATGTGCACCCACATTGTCCAGGCACTCACCCCTGCTTTCCCCACTGCTCCAGTGCTTATCTTGGGTCAGGTTCAGTAGAGGACGCTGTGAGCATGGCTGTTGGGAGGCTTCCGTGGTGTCCAGGTGAGGGGCCTCGCGGCCGGGCACCCCGCTTGCTGTGCGCACTTCCTGCCTGGCCCTGTGTGGAGAGCTGTGAGGGGCTGGTGGCTGCCCACTGCTGGACACTTGTGCTGTGTGAGGTATAGCACATGCCTATGGAAGGTGGGGGTTAGGGCCCAGGGACTTTCCAGGAAGAGGCCAGAGCTAAGCACCTCGCTTCCAGGAAAAAGGCTCCAAAGAGAGTCTGTGCCCCGCATTGACATCTGGGAGACACTGGGCCTGCTGGCGCCCACCTGTCTTCCCAGCACTCAGGAGGCTGAGGCAGGAGGATCTGAGATGGAGGCTGGCTGGGGCCACACAGTGAGACCCTGTGCCCCACAGGAGCTGGAGGATCTGAAGGGGGAGATGCCCCCATACCTGCGGGACCTGTGCAGCGAGAAGGCCAACGTCCTGGTGTGGCACATGCTGCTCCTGCCTGTGAGTGTCCCCGGGCCAGGCCAGCGGTGCAGGGAGGGGAGGGGACTGCCTTTTGCAGACAGATGATGACACTAATGATTGTGGGCTTAGTAGGAGAAGAGCAGCAGACACAAGGCCCCACGCAAGTCCAGACACAGATAGGCCTGAGAGGAGAAGCCAGGCTGTGGCCTGCTCCTGAGACCTGGGTTCGTGAGAGGCTGAGGCAGGACGGTCTCTTGAGCCCAGGAGTTCAAGGCCAGCCTGGGCTACACAGCGAGACCCTGTCTCAAAAATAAAATAAAATAAAATCTCTTGGACCTTTTTTAAGGAGTAGTGATAAACTGCTACATATGTTTTTTCCCTTGGTAAGACAAAATCTTGGTCTTGAGCTCACAGTGATCCTCCTGCCTCAGCCTCCCAATGGGATTATATTCGAGCATCCCCACACCTGGCTATTTTGTTTTCTTTTAAAGACCTTATTTCATGTGGCAGCAAAGACAGCATTCTTGCGGGACCTCAGCCTGTGTCCTTGGAGAGCTCTGGCGGGTCCTGGGAGGGCACAGGGAGACGCCCTGCCTCCCAGGCGGGTGGGTGGGGTCTCAGTTTCCACCTAAGCTTCTACCCTCAGGTGCAGCCTCCCTACCACCTCAGGGCCTTCCGCCTGCGCCTCGACTTCCCCAGGGAGTACCCCTTCCGGCCCCCCACGGTGATCTTCACCACCAGGATCTACCACCCCAACGTGGATGAGCAGGGCCGGACCTGCCTGCCGCTCCTCAGCAGGGAGAACTGGAAACCTCACACCAAGGCTGCCCAAGGTGAGGGCCCATCCTGCTAGGGCTGAGGCCGGGGACTTGGTGGAGTTGGAGCTAGGAACCCCTGAAAGAGGGACGCGAGACTCTCAGTGGGGTTTTGTGGCGCACCCTGGAATTACAGCTCTTGGGAGGCTGGGGCAGGAGGGTGTCGACTTCCAGGCCAGAGGAGCTCAGCTATGCTTTGTGGGGAAGAGAGGGTGCTTGGCCTCGGAGGGAATGTATCCCCGTTTCCTGCTGCTGGGGCACAGGACCTGACCCCACAGCTGCAAGGATGAGAGGCTTGTTTGGCTCACAGTTTGTAGAGGTGCAGTCCATGGTCAGCTGGCTCCGAGGCAGGGCGGCTGGCAGAGGGGTCTGGCGGAGGAAAGCGGCTCGAGGCATGGCACACAGGAAGCAGAGAGACTCAGGGAGGAGCGGGGAGGGAGATGGACCCTTCCAGGCCACACCCCCAACAGGAAGTCAGCTAGGAACCCGTGATGCAGCCACCTTGCAGACCGGCCTGGGGACGCCTGCACAGGAGCCATCCCAGCGCTCGAGGAGGGAGGCCTGGGCTCGGGCAAACCTCTGTGCTCCTGCCACAGCGCCGAGGGACAAGGGCACGGTGACACCCACTGCCATTTCGTCCTGCACTTCCGCCACCGTGCTGGAAGCGGCAGTCCTCCCTCACTGACCTCGCGTGCCACCCCCGAGGCAGCGCTTTCATTGGCCTGGGGAATGGCGGGAGTAGGAAAGCACAATGGGGGGCGGGGGACGACACACGTGCAGGGCATGGCAGGCAGTGTCCAACAGCTTCTGCAGCGCTGCCCAGTCCAGCAGTCACAGGCGCAGGGCGCCAATGCAGCTGAGGAACTGAATTTTTTAAATTGTTTTTGAGACAAGGCCTGGCTCTGTAGTTCAGGCTGGCCTTGAATTTACAATGTGGCTCAGGTTGGCCTGACTTGTGGCCATCTTCCTGCCTCATCCTCCCAAGTGCTGGGATTACAGGAGTGCCCCGCCTCACCCGGCTAGCACGTAGCTTTTGAAATCCGAAGTGTGGTGTGGGGTCTGGAGGGACCTGGGGACAGGGGCACCTGTCACCCCCGGTCCGGGCTGTGCCTGCGCCCTGACGTCCTGCCCCTTCTCCCCAGTCTTGGAGGCCCTCAGCCATCTGGTGAACAGGCCCAACCTGGAGGAGCCCCTGCGGCTGGACCTGGCCAACCTGCTGGCCCGGAGCCCGGAGCAGTTCTGGAAGAGGGCTGAGGAGTTCACGCTGCAGTTTGGCGAGGACCGGCCCTCCTGATCCTGGTGGACTGCGGCCAGGGCCCGGAGTTGGGGGGCGGGGGGGATGCAGCCCGGGTCCCTGGCCCTGTGGGGTCACCTCTCCATGGTCTCCCCTGAGCCCACAGAGTTAGGGTCCGGGTGGTTTCTGCACCTCTGCCGGCTTCCAGCACCTCAGGGCCCAGGCCCAGGGCGGGGCGGGTGCGTGGGCGGGGTCGGGTGGGAGCAGCACATGGCAGTGTCCTGTTTCCAGCCGAGGGACTGAAATCCACCGGACCCTCGGCCTGTGCAGATTTAGGTGCCAAACCTTTGACTTTTCACTGATGAACACACATGAAGAATGTAACCTCCGCCGCAGAATCTGACCCCACAGCCAGCCTGGAGATCCGTAGAGCCCAGACACTTGCCTGGCCATTAAAGTCGCAGAATTCCAGAGTTCGGCTAAATCCTCTGTGAGGGCTGGGACTTAACTGGCCCTGTTTCCCATGGACATTCCCCAATCGTGCTAAGAAGAATGAGTGGCCATGAAAGGGTAGGTTGGCATAGCCAGGCATGGGGGTACACGCCTGTCATCCTAGCACTCTGGGAGGCTGGGGCAGGAGAATTCCAAGTTCGAGGAGCCTGGGCAACTTAGCAAGACCCTGTTCAAAATAAAAAATAGAGGGCTGGGGATTTAGCTCAGTGGTTCCGGCGCCTGCCTCGCAAGCGCAAGGTCCCGAGTTTGATCCTCGGTACCAAAAATAAATAAATAAAAAATAAAAAATAGAAGACTGCAGATGTAGATCCGTGTGAAGGGCCTGGGTTTGATCACCAGTGCCAGGCCAACAGAGCCAGGCTGAGTTGCTAACAGAATGTTACAACCAGCTCAGGGCTGGTCCTGATGCACACGGACAGAATGAGACCTTGACTCCCACCTGGGTGGAGGGTTAGCTCCACAGGAAGGACGGGAGAGCTCTGCAGCCACCACTGCCAGAAGCTGATGGGGTACACAGATGTCTCAGAGACCGGAGGTGGGTCTCTCAGGACCCAGCCTTGTCTGGTGAGTGTTCTAGTTACTTTCTTGTTGTTGAGACAATATACTCAACACCCAAAGTTAGAGGAGGCGAGGTTTAATTTGGCTCACAGTTTGTAGAGGTTTCAATCCATAGTCAGCTGGCTCCAAGGGAGGGTGGCATGGCAGAGGAGAAACAGTCCATGGCAGGCAGACAGAAGGCAGTGAGCAGTGAGCAGCAGGAGCAGCCTCCCTTTTCCTTTTTGTGCGTGGGGGTACCAGGAGTCAAACTCAGGACCTTGTGGTTGGGAGGCAGGTGTGGTGCCACCAAGCTAAATCCCCAGCCCCTCTCCCTTTCCCTTTTATTGCATCCAGGCTACAGACATGTTGGGCAGTGCCACCCACACTAGGGCTTCTGTCTTTGGTAAATCCATCCAGCCACACTCAGCTATGCTAATTCCAATCGGTGGACTAATTTAGTGCCACACACCCTTAGTCCTGATATCACACACTCTAGAACCTGCCAGCTCTGAAGAGCCCCACCTATGGGTGTGTGAGCCTTTGGGAGGACATCCAGATCCAAGCCGTAACAGTGGGATTCCTGGAGAATCTTCCACTCCATCCCTTCCCCGGAGCCCCCCAGCGGGGGAGCATGGGAAGAGCTGGAGGGAAGTGGGGAAAGCACCACAGATGGCTGTAAGAGTGAGCTTGGGTGACCTCAGCTCGCCACCCTGTGGCGAGGACAACATGCATGGGGAAAGGTCTACCCAGGTTCCTGCTTCCGAGGACAAGCCCAGGCTTGGCCACCTCCATTATCTCAGCAGAAACATCATGGCGGAAGGGTCTGGTGGAGCAGAGCTGCTTGCCTCATGGCGGCTGGGAAGCAGAAGGGGGCGACAGAGCCAGAGAGGAAGGAGCAAGGGCAAGAGAGTGCCCGAGGTCACCCTGTGATGCGCCCCTCGGCGAGGACCCTTCCTAGTCCCCGGTCCATCCATGCTGAGCTGGAGTCAGCATCCTCACCACACGGTCACCTTCCCAGGCCCCAGTGCTCAACACGGCTGCACCAGGGACCAAACCACCAGCCCAGCAGCCCTGGGGCAGACTGCAGGTCCCATCCATGCAGGTTTATTTTTAGCCACATTTGTGGAACAAGGGCATGGCAGGGGAAGGAGAGCAGCACGGACTGAGACAGGGTTTTATGAAAGTCCTTTTAATGCAGTCAAGACTGGGACCGCCATCCCTGCCCGCCCCCCAGCTCTGCTGTCCCCGAGGAGCAGAAGTGAGGCCCAGCACCCTCCTGACTCAGCTGTCACTTCTTCTTGGTCTTCACCAGCCCCTTCTGCACCAGGCTGCGGTACAGCTCCTGGATGTAGGTGTAGACGCACTTGGAGTCGGGCACTGCCAGCCGCACCATGTCCTCCACGTCCAGCAGCTGGGCACAGTCAGCCAATTTCCTGTGGGCGGGCCAGGATGGGGAACAGGGGAGGAGGTCAAGAGACAGAGCCAAGGAAGTGGGTGGGTGGCCTGCAAGGTCCTAGGGGGTCACTGTGTGGGTGCTGGGAAGTGGCTCAGTCATCACCCCATTGTACAGACAGGATAACTGAGCCCCAGGTGGCACAGTCCGGATTCGAACTCAGCTCGGGGTGGTGGTGCACGTTTGTGATCCTAGCACTCTGGGAGGCTGAGGCAGGAGGGTTGCAAGTTGGAGCCCATCCTGGGCAACCTAGTAACTTAATGAGTTCTTGTTTCAAAATAAATGAGGGGCTGGGGATGTAGCTCAGTGTGAAGGCCCTGGGTTCCATCCCCAGTGGCATAAGGAAAACTGGAAAAAGGACTCAAAGGCAGCAAGGTGTGCGCATAGCTGGGGAGAGAAAGGTGCTGGGCAGCCTGCGGCGCGTGGCTTGACTCTAACCGCTGTGTGCCCTTCAGGGCGCTGCACACTCCTGGCTTTGCTGAGGCGTCAAGCTGGGTCTTCCCAGCCTGGGCATCACCCCCTGGATGCCCCATCCGCCTCTGTACTGGGGCTCACGCGCTTGGTGGTTTGCCCAAGGTGACCCTGGGCTGTGCTCCTCCTGGGCCGAGACTGAGGTCTGGGGTCAGGCTGGCCCCACGCTGTGGTGTCTGCCTCAGTTTCCCTCCTGGGCCACCGGTCTCCAGCTCCAGCCCCTGGCGCAGAGCAAGTCCTCCGACCCAGTCAACCACAGCGACCCAGGTGTCCTCGCCAGCACCTGACTGCTGCAGGGTGGCCCAGGTCCAGGGCGCTTCACTGACACTCCCTGCAGCAGCCTTGAGAGAGCAAGTGTCCTGCCGGCTTGAGGTCAGAACACTGAGGCTGGGGACGGGAGGAGCACAGCAGGATCACAGCTTGTGGGCAGTGCAGGTGGAGCCTGAGCCCGCGCTCCCTGTCCCAGCCCTGCCGGCATCACCTCCATGTGCCCGTCACCCTGGCTTTACACCGGCTGTGATTTAAGGAAATACAACGTGTGCTCACAATAGCTGTTATATAAAAGGCACACTCTGTGAATCCCCTCATAATCTGCCCCTCGATCCAACACTCCGCCCACCGTCTGTCCCGCTTCCTGCTTCCTGAAGCAACTCTGGAGTGCTCTTTCTGGAGGGTCATCACTTTGACCTTGAGGAGGAGCTGGAAGCCAGATCCGGGGACTGAGGTGGGTGAGGACACAGTGTCATGTTCTGACCAGCTGCTTTCTGCTGGATGGCGTGTGGTGGCAGCACTCATTGTTTTTTTAAATTTTGGTACTGGGGGTTGAACTCAGGACCTTGTGCTTGGGAGGCAGGCTACTGGTATTTTTGATCGCACCTCATAAAGACACTCAGGAAAGAGGATTTCAGAGCTGCTGCAGAAAGAGGAAAGGACGGTGAAATGAGTGTGTTTGAAGTGAGAAGGAGGAGGTTGAAGGGGATTCATGACAATCACTCTTTTACTAGAATAAAATTTGAAAAATGTAAATATTCTTTTTTTTTTAATATTCTTATTTTTGACCACCCTTTGCATTTCACCTGTGTGTGTCCACGATGTGTGTCTCTACTGATTTATTTGCTTTGTTTTGTTTTTGAGGCAGAGCATTACTGTGTAGTTCAGGCCGGCCTCGAACTCACTGAGTTCCTCCTGCCTCAGCCTCCCCAATGCTGGGATCACGGGTGTGCGCCCCCACGCTTGGCCGTCCGTTCATTGAAAAGGTGACTCCAAGCAGGCAGGGGCTTTTGTTGGCGACAGCTCCGGGTAGGAAACAGCCCTGGTCTCAGGGTCCCCGGCCCCTGCTTCCCCACCCACGGGGCAGGGCTCACTCTGCGGTGGAAAAGGCCAGGGTGAAGTTGTGCCGGCGCGCGGCGGGGTCCAGCGCCACGTAGTCGAAGGCGTCGGGAAAGAACTTGTGGATGAGGGCGCAGAAGGCCATGCCGCTGCTCCAGCTGGACGAGAAGTTCTGGATGTCCACGTGCTGCGGGAGGAGCCAATGAGCCTTGCTCGGCGTAGGCCCCGCCCACACCCCACCAGGGCCAGGCCCACCAGACCCTCCCACCCCAGGGTCCCGCCCACCCAGGGGTCACGCCCACACAGCAGAGTGACGTCCACCAGTTCCCGCCCACCCCCAGGCACCGCAGGGCCCTGCCCACCTGACCCCTACCACCCAAACAAGGCCCCCGACCACCCAGGGGTTCCGCCCACCTAGCAGGACCACGCCCACCAGGCCCCATCCAAACAATCCCCGCCCACCACAGACACCCCCTACAGGCCCCGCCCCCCGCGCATGCGCACCTCACCTCGTACTTGCGCGTCATGGCACGGCACCACTCCAGCAGCATGGTCTTGACCCCGCCGACGGCCGCGCCCGCCGACTTGTTGCGGAACAACGCTGTGGGGCCCGAGGCTGCCCTGCGGGACCGGGACCGGTGTGCACCGGTGTGTGCGAGTGCGGACCCCTCCCGGCCGCCCGACCTCAGCCCTCCCGCGGACCACCTGGCCTACCCGCCGAACTTGTCCACGATGGCCTTTCGGTTCTGGGGGCGGGGGGCCCGGGGCCGGGCCGCGGCCGATGCCCTGTGCTCCGGCTTGTGCTCCTCGGCTCTCTGGGGCGCATCGCTGGGTGGAAACTCACTGCTGGGGAGGCCGGTGGGTGAGATGGGCGGGGCCATCCCTGGGAGGCTGAGGCAGGAGGATCACCAGGAGTTGGAGCCCAGCCCGCACTACGTAGTGAGACCCTGTCTCAACACAACGGAGCCGGCCGAGTGACAGGGCCGCGGTCCGGCCTCCTCAGTGATGCCGGCCCTCGGGGCAGCTGGGCAGCCGGGTGAGGAGCCACCAGCCCGTGCCTAGGGTTCCGGCTCCTCACGGCCGGGAAGCCGGGCTCTGAGTCCCAGGCAGGGGTGAGGCTCGAAGGTTGGAGCCCGGGCCACCTTACCTGGCCGGAGGGCTGGTCTCTCCCGAGGCTGTGGACGCGGGGGCCTCTCTGTCTGCAGGGACAGGGTGGACAGTGGGCTCCCTGACTGCCCTCTGCACCCCCCCCAGCCACGCACCCCGCTGGCTCACCTGGGCTGAAGCCAGGGCCCCCCTCGCTGGGGCTCTCGGGCCACTCCTCGGGGGAGCTGGGGGAGCTGGGGGCACCCGTGGCCCCCTGCTCTGGCTCTCTGTCCTCGTTCTGGTCTTCCTCTTCCCCCAGGCCTCCAGGCTCCTGTAAAGGGCAGAGTCCCTGTGGGCTCCTGGTCCCAGGAGCACCTGCCCCGCCCCATCCCCGAAGACCACTGGAGGGAGACTGGGCCTTCCCGAGGGAACTCAGATATCCTCCTGCCTCCGCCTCTGAGTGCTGGGATTACATGGGCCTTAGAGCTCTGTGGCTGGGGGCAGCGAGCATCCCTTCTCTGCCGCACTCACCAGTTCCTCTGCACCCCTTTCGGCCCCCTCCTTCCCATCGGCCTCCTGAGGCTCTCTATCCACAGCTGCCTTCTGAGGTCCCGCCGTGGCCCCCTGATGTACAGCGTTGTCCCCGCCAGCCTCCGTGGATGCGGGTTTGTCCCTGGCGTTCCCTCCGTCTTTCTCCTCAGGTTCTGCCTGGGCCTCTTTCTCATCAGCCTGCTTCTGTGCGGCTGGCGTGGCCTCCTCCCTTTCGCCGGCCTCCCTGGGTTCAGCTCCGGTCTCCTTCTTGTCCGCCGCCTCCAGAGAAGCCTCTGCGGCCTCCTCCTTCCCGCCGGCCTCCTTCTGGGGCTCCCCCTGCGCGTCCTCCTCTAGCTCCCTGGCTTCCCCCTGTGGCCCTGTGGGGACAGTGTCCATTTCCCCCGCCGGGCCTTTGGTCACCACGGCTGCAGCCCCCGACGTCTCAGGCCCCTCTGGGGCTGGGGAGACTGTGCTCCTCTCCTCGGCCGGCTTCCCTTCTGTGGGCTCCATGTCTGGAAAGAAGAGCGAGGGCCTGTCAGGCCCTGTCCCTGTCTGGGGGAAGACATCCCCAGAAAGCCTTGGTGCCCCAGCATCCTCCGTGGCCATGGCAACAGGAAGGGGCCTCGGCTGCCCAGGTGGGCCAGGCCGGGTGCTGGCAGGGCTGAGTAACGCTCCCCCGTAAGCTGCCCTCGCTTTCCAGCCGCACCCTGGCCTTTCCGTGGCTTCGCCTCTTTCTGATGACTCTGGTGAGGCCGTCACGGTGTAGCAGGGTCCAGAGCCCGAAGCAGGCAGGAGAAGCGCATCACTCACACAGCATTGCTTGGTTTCCAGTGTATTTATTTTTACAGCTACTTTCTATTTCTGGCAAGTGATACTGAGTTTTCATTTCCAGCCATGATAGAAAGTGTCTTTTAAGGATACATTATTGAGGGCTGGGGATTTAGCTCAGTGGTTTTGCCGCCTGCGCAAGTGCAAGGACCCGAGTTCGATCCCCGGTACCAAAAAAAAAGAATACATTATTGAATTCTGAAACTTAATTCAGAGGCCAGCACTGAGAACAATAGAGTAGGGAGTGTCATGCAGATGTGGCTGAATTGTGGCTGGGGCCCAAGTCCGACATTTGGGAACCCCTGGGCCAGCTGCCTCAAGGGGCCCTGCCAGGCTGTGGTTCCCAGAGAGGGGGGAGAAGAGTCCACTTTGGTGACCGAGGCATCTCCTCTCGCTCTGCAGGGCTCAGGAGAGATCGGGACCCTGGCTTGGGGAGTCCCAGTAAGTACTGTATCTTAGTACTCCTAAGTACTGTTAAGCACTCCTATGTAAGAAGAGTGTGTAAGTACTGTAAATACTCCCATTTAAGTACTATACTAAGTACTCCCACCTAAGTACTGTATTTAAGTACTCCTATTTAAGTACTGTATCTACTGTAGGACCCACAAACAGGTGAAGGACCAGGGCAGTTCCTTCATCCACTGCCCTTCCCAGGGCCCTAGTTACAAAGAAAACAACCCCAAATAGGGCTTGGCATGACTCAGGCAGTTAGAAGGGGCATGCTCCTGTCACCGGCTAAAAATACTGCCCGGCGTTGGCAGTATTGTCCCGGAGACAGCGCAGTGTTGTCCCTGGGAGCAGGATGGGCACGGGAGGAGGCCTCCTGTCCCAGACCAGAGTCCAGGGCCCCTCGGTGCTGAGCTGCAAGGAAGTACCTGAGGGTCACGCCGCACCCAGCCCTGGCCTGGCTCTGCACTGATGGTGAGACCTGGAGAGAGCCGGGTGCTGTGGGCGGGGGCAGAGTTGGGCCCCATCTTCTCTCCATCTGTGCATCCCTTAGGGAGTGCAGGGGAAGGGCAGTGTGCACACACACACACACACACACACAGCCATGTTCACCACCTCCGCCACCCAACCCCCAGGAGTGTGGCCAACAAAGGAGAGAAGTTCAGAAATGGGGAAGCCAGGCTCACCCCACCCCGCACCCCAGGTCTGCAGCAGCTTCTAGCTACCTACAGGCCCTGCCTGACCTTGGTTGCTCCTCACGCTGACTTCTGGAAAGGTATTGTTGATGGAGTACTACTTAGCTGTGAAGAAGGACGAGCCTGAGTCGTGTAGGAAAACAGATGCTGCTTGAGACCATGATGCCAAGTGAAGTGCCTCAGACACAAGCTAAAGTATCTGGAGCCCATACCGGGACCCGGCTCCCAGCCCCTTGGCCCGGTGGGGGACCGGCTGGCAGGCAGGGCTGTCAGGTGGTGGGGACTCTGAGTATACCCCGGGCACCCGCAGGTTTCTCCACCCTCCTCCTGGTTTCCTCTCTCCCTGCTTCCATCCCCCTCCCTCCCCAGGAAGCCTCCCATCCTCCTGGTGTTGTCCCCTTGGGAGGGAGAAGCACTGAATGGGACGGGTCCCTGGGCTGTCTTCCGGGGGTCCTTCCGGCTCCACACCCAGCCAGGGACCCCGAGGTGCCCCACTGAGGGTGCCCTCCTCCTGAATGCCACCTGCAGGCCCCTCCACAGGTCCCCAAGGTGACCGCATGGCTGCTCAGGGCCTCTAAGGAAGCTGACCGAGTGGCAGGGAGAGGAACAAGGCATGCTGGGAGGCTGAGGCAGAGGCTCACAGGTTCCAGCCCAGCCTGGCCAAGTGAGCAGGGTAGCGAGGCCCTGTCTCAAAATGAAAAATAAAGAAAGGGCTGGGAATGAGCTCAGTGCAAAGCCCCTGGGTTCAGCCCTAGTAGAGGAAAAAGGAAACAAGTCGGAGCCCGGGCTTCCCTGGTCAGGAGCCTCCTGGAAGCCTGGCCAGGAGGTGGGGGTCGGGTGCCTGGGGAAGCCACTGAGAAAGGCCCAGGGCGTCTCCTACCTGGGCCTCAGGCTGCTTGGGAGCCGGCACTTTCCTCCCCAAGCTCCGGCTGCGCTGCCCTAAGTGGTGGCTTCACCCTGGCCCGGCCCCGGCCTGGGCATGAGCATTGTTTACCCGTTGGTACAACACTTCCCCGGCCAGGGGGCTCCGGTTTCCGCACTGACAGGTGCGGCGTTCAGTCATGCCCTGTCCTGGGAGCCTCCTTCCCAGCTGCCATCCTGGGGACCTGGCGACTGGGTGAGGCCCGTGGGAGCCAGGGCCCGCCCAGAGCCCGGGCCCTCCATGGCCTCGCCCCTCGGCTGCCTGGCACCTGGGCCCCCTCCTCCCGGGCAGCAGCTGCCCTGGGACACAGGGGACGCAGGGTCGTCTGGGCTCACCCTGGCTGGGGCGGCTTGGTGATGACCCAGGTCCCGAGTGCTCCTGAGCTTTACCCATGGTGTGCCCTGTGGCCTGGAAGGCGCCCGAGCAGGGCGTGGGCAGGGAACAGCCCTGTCACCCGAGTCTGTGACCCCAGCCCCACCACTCCGCCACACAGCCGCCCCTCTCCAGCCCAGTGCTGCATTCTCCATGTGCTGTTTCTTTTTTCTGGGGAGGGGGATGTGGGGGGGATGAACCCAGGGCCTTCACACGGGCCCACGTCTCCAGCCCTTCCTTAGTTTCTATTTTGAGGCCTCATTCAGTCAGTCACTGAGTTGATCAGGCTGGGCTTGAAATGGTGAGCCTCCTGCCTCAGCCTCTGTGTGCTGGGATGACCCGTGTTGGCCCCATGCCCATCTTCCTTGCTGTCTTCCCAGCCTGGCTCCTTCTCGCTCTTCTAAGCCCAGCCACTGCCACCCTGCCCAGCGCGCTGTTCCGCCTGACTCAGCCGACTCCACATCTGCCCTTGGCTCCCTGGCCTGTCTTTCTCATTCGGGCCCTAGCTCCACACGGGTGGGCGGGACTTTATCTGCCCTGCTCAGGTCCCAGTAGATACACAGATAGATATACACACTACACACCGGAACTCACCAACAAAGGAACCGTCACAGAAACACAGCCGGGAGTGGGGCTGTGCCCAGGGCCCTGGGAGAGGCCGGAGAGCGCTCACTCTGGATACCAATGTCCACAGCCCAGTACTGATGCCCGCCTGTCGCCACCTCAGGGATGGCACTCTTCATTCATCCAGGGTTCCTCTTCATTTGTTCATTTTTTGAGACAGACTCTCCCTATGTAGTCCAGGCTGCCTTTGAACTCACTGTGTAGCCCAGGCTGGCCTCAAACTCCAGCAATCCTCCTGCCTCAGCCTCCCAAGTGCTGAATGGCAGGATACACTTTACTTTTATTTTATTTTATTTTTTTGGTACCAGGATCAAAGTAGGGACCTTGTGCTTGCAAGGCAGGCGGCAGCACCAGTGAGCCAAATCCCTGGCCCTAGGATGCACTATAGACAGAGGGGTCAAGCGTGCCTCACCGAGGTGGTGAAAGGAAGCAGCCTGGGTGGAGGACAGCGCTGGGAGGGAGAGGAGCGGAGAGGAGGCCAGCTCCGCAGGCAGAGTGGCCCTGGGGGAAAGGCCTAGGCAGGGGTGCAAGGAACGCAGGGCTCACAGACCGCGCTGAGGGCTCCGGATTTGGTGTCCCTGCCGCTGATGACCACGTGGCCCTGGCCACCGTCTAGAGCACGTGGAGGGGACGGCAGGAGACAGCACAGAGGCCCAGGCCTTGTGGGGCAGCGTGACAGAGGCAGAGCCAGCCTGATCCTCAGGCCAGGGAGGGTCTGGCTCTGTTTTCTTTGCCATCTCCAGCGGCCGGGTCCCCGAGGGCGACACAGAGCTCCCCAAGAGGCCGGGGAGGGCCAGGCCTCACGAAGAGCCCAGTCTCACCACGGCATGACAGGGACAGACAGTGCGAGCCGCAGAGCTGCAGCTCTCTAAGCTTTGACAAGAAATTTAGCCAGGCCTGGTAGCACACAACTGTCCTCCCAGCACCTAGGAGGCTGAGGCAGGAGGATCATTCCGAGTTCAAGGCTGCACAGTGAGTTCAAAGCCAGTCTGACCTTCATAGAGAGACTCTGTGTCAACACACAAACAAAACCAGACAACTCAATAGGGCAGCTGGAGGGTCTTCCTTGTAGGTTGTCCAATGCCCAGGCATAGGAGATAGGGTCTCACAGTGGCTAATAAGAACAATGATATGGTCATTAATAAGATCAGTGACTTTAGGAGCCGAGGGGAGAGGGAAATGAGTTACTGTTCACTATGTGCTCTGCCAGTTACCAGGATGAATGGGTTCCAGAGATCTGCTGTACAGCATGGTGCCTAGAGATAATATTACATTGTGTTATTTTTTTGTTTGTTTGAGACAGGGTCTCATTATGTAGCCCAGGGCTGGCCTTGAACGCACAGTGATCCTCCCATCTCAGCCTCCTGAGTGCTGGGCTCACAGGAGTGCTCCACCACACCTGGCAGTAATACTGTATTGGGCACATGTATATTTGCTAAGTGGGCAGATCTCATGTTAAGTATTCTTACCACGATGTAGGAAACAAAGGCCTTCTGGAGAGGTCGGGTATCAGAGAAATCTGTATTCGATTCCATTGCAAAATGACTGGGGGCTGAGGTGTAGCTCCGTGGTAGGATGTTTGCCTAGCACGTGTGAGCCCTGGGTTTGGCCATCAGTATTGGGAAAAAAAAAAAGGAAAAAAGAAATTACTATAATTTTGAGGGTATGAAAATAATAGTTTGGAAAAAACCCACTCCATGCATTAGAGATAAAAACAGACCAAGAGTACGGTGGAAGTGAGCCGTTGTTCCGTTCTGGTGATCCAGCTACAGGGAAGACGGAGCTCTTCATTTCCCGGAGGTTCTAAACCTGCCCCAATAAATGATAAAGGACAATGATCTCTTTTTATTGAGCATCTACCATAGACTAGGTGCTTTACTTCCGTTGTCTTTTTGTTTTCTGTTTTGTAATGAGTTCTTAAAGTTTTTCTTTGGAAATCATTACAGCACAGAGAGGTCCTGGGTAACCCGTCCCTTAGCCTTCACGGGAGAGAAAGGCGTAGAGGACTACAGCACATGCAGGGTCACAGCACGGCGCCCACAAGGGACAGTGTGCGTATTCAGATCTGTGACAAGTGTGAGTGTGCGAGTGTGTGAGAGGCAGCCTCATGCTGAGCTGCATCCCAGCCCTTAATATTCTTCGTTCTACTGAAATAGGTTCTTGCCACATTGCCCAACTGCCCAGGGTGGGCTTGAACTCACAGTCCTCCTGCCTTGGCCTCCAGAGTGCTGGGCTTCCAGGCCTGCACCAAGCCCAGCCGTTCCGTGCCACCGTAGCCCACGTGCAGACTCCTAGGCACCATGACGGCTGGACACAGCCCCATCCTCCGAACGCAGACTGCGGCTTCCTCCACCCATGCGCCCACTCCTTTCTTCACCATCTATAATTTTGTCCTTTTGAGATTGTTATTTAGCTGGAATTGTACAGCATGCAGCCTTTCATAACTCAGTAAATATCCCAGATTCCTCTCATAAGAACACCTCCCTTTCCCTGGGTAGTTTCTTAATCATTTATTAATCAGTTTCATAATATAGTGACTATTTTCAAAAGCAAAAATTAGAGCTGGGCATAGTGCTGCACACCTGTAATCTCAGCACTCAGGAGGCTGAGGCAGGAAGATCCCCAACATTTCAAGGCCAGCCTGAACTACATAGCGAGACCCTGTCTCAAAAACCCTAAAGACAAAAAAATAAAAAATAAAATAAATAAATAAATAAAAAGCTCACTGACTCTCTGGGCCGGGGATTTAGCTCAGTGGTTCCGGTGCCTGCCTCACAAGCGCAAGGACCAGAGTTCGATCCCTGGTACCAAAAAAAAAAAAAAGCTCAAACACTGAAGACAAACAACAGATAAACACAGCAGGATCGATGAAATCTTTTTTATTTTTGGTACCAGGGATCAAACTCGGGTCCTTGAACTTGCACAGCAGGCGGCAAAACCACTGAGCTAAATCCCCAGCCCAGGATGGATGAAATCTTACAGACAGTACTTGGAGCTAAAGAAGTCAGGCACAGGCAGAGAAGGCATCCGTCCATTTAGATGAACTTCCAAGCCTAGGTAGAAGTACAGGAACTGTTCGTAGAAGTCAGGGAGTGGCAACTTCACAAGAAGGGGTATTAACTGGGGAGGAACGTGAGAAAACTTGTTGGAGTGCAGGAAATATTGTGTAAATTGATGTGGTTATGCTTTATGAATGTACATCTATTTTAAAGATTGACTTTAGGGGCAGGGATGTAGCTCAGGGGTGCCATTCCTGCCGGGCAAGTGCAAGGTCCCGAGTTTGATGTCCCTGGTACAGGGAAAAAAAAGAGAGAAAAGATTAATGTTAATAGAGCCGGAGTCGTGGTTCAATGGTTGAACACTTGCCTTGCATGAATGAGGCCCTAGGTTCAATCCGCAACACCACAAAAACGAAAAATAAGCTTAAGATTTGTGTGTTTTGCATACTTTACTGTACCAACGTTCTATCTCAGTCTTAAAGTAATCGGGGCATGGGTTTGACAAACACGAGTCCTTACGGCAGTACTGTGCCTGATGCTTAAAGTCAGCATTGCTGGGGTGGGGGCCCGGACCTCGCCTCCCAAGTCAGGGCTGTTTTGGATAATTACAAAAGCATAGCGATGACCATATTTAAAACATGCAGCCCCCTTCTGCAGTGAGCAGTGTATCCTCGTCCATCGATTTACATCGTATAGGTCTGGTGTGCTGGGGCGCGCCTGAAATCCCAGCACTCTGGAGGCTGAGGCAGGAAGATTCCCAGTGCAAGGCCATCCTGGACTACATAGAGAGACTGTCTCAAAATAAAAATAAATTTTCATTTTGCAAATTTAAACTGGTAAATTATGTGAAAAATCAAGAGTTTGCGGGTTCTTCGTTGTGGGGGGTAGTGGCGCAGAGGGAGGAACCCGTGGTCTTGAGAGATGAAGAGCTCCCCAAGACCTGCTCTGCTCCTCCCGCAGACCCCAGAATCGCCCCTGCACCTCCCTGTGGCTCAGCCGAGTGCAGAGCTGAGTGAAACCGAGTCTACCCGAGCCTCGCGTGAGTGAACCCCGGCTGCTGCTCCTCCCTGCAGGCCCGGGGGTGGGAGATGGGGTTAGCGTCCTAGGCCCGCAGCAATCACGCGGAGTCCCACGGACACTGGTTCTCCAATCCAGCTGCAGAGGATTCGCTGGGGCAACTGTACAGTGCTGGGCCAGCTCCAGAGATTCAGATTTTGTCTCCACGAGTCGAGGTCTGGGCACCCAGCTTTGTAGAGGCGTCCCGAGTGGTTCCGACGTGCAACAAAAACTGAAAGGCGCCGTTCGGCCTTTCTCCTCGCTCGGCCGGCGCCCTCTCCCGGCGGGGATGCGGTCGCCCCTCTCGGCCGCCACGCCCCGGCCTAAACCGTCGGCTCAAACGTCTCCTTGACAACCCCAGGGATTTGGGCGCCCACCGGGCTGCGGCGCTCTGCCCCCAACCCCCGGCCTCCATGGTACACCGGCGTCCTCTCTAGCGTTTGAAAGTCGGCTTTCTTTTCGGCCGGCTCACAGCTCCCTCTCTATGGTAGTCCACTTCCCAGCACCGCCTTGTTGGCGTTTCCTTCCGGGTCGGGAGGAGGCGGGACTTTTCCTCCCGGAAGTGACCCAGGTGCTTCCGGCGTGGTGTACCCGTGCGCCCGGCGGCTGTGTACCGTAGCATTTGCCCCAAGGTGGCGGCGCCCGGTGCTCTGCGCGCCGCTGCAGGCCGTGGTGAGTGAGCCGTGGCTCCAGACCTCAAGGGGACCTGTGGTGACGTCGCCGTTGCAGTGGTGCAGCCTTTGAGTCGGGCTCTGGGCGCCTCGGTTCCGAGTGCGGTCGAATTCCCGGGCCCCCTAGGTGCAGGCCTGCGGGCTCAGCGTCGGGCCTCGGTTCCCGCTCACCCGGCTGAGGCTGGGGCAGGGAATAGGGCGTCAGGCGCCGGGCCTCCCCCATGACATCCCGGTGACCTTGGGCTGGCCATTGGGCCTGGCCTCAGTTTCCACGCCTGTGAGCGGGGTGGCTAAGCCACCGAGGCGGTGGCCCTGCTGGTGACACCCGTGATTGCCCCGATCCGCCAGCCCCTGGGTGCGAGGGAGGACGCGAGGGCGGTGCTCACGGCCGTGTCTGTCCAGTACCAGGTGTCCTACGGTGCCGGGCTCCATGGACCCGCTCAGGGCCCAGCAGCTGGCGGCGGAGCTGGAGGTGGAGATGATGGCCGACATGTACAACAGGTGAGCGGAGCCACCCGGCGCTGCCTGCCACCCCAGCCAAGGGCAGAGTGGGTGGCTTCCAACACAGACAGTGTTGGGGGGCCTGCGGCCCGCCGCCCTGCACACTCCGGTGGGTGCCAGCGTGGACACGGTCCGGGACCAGGCCCGTGCTTCGATGGGGGTGGACTGGCATGGAGGAGCGGAGCAGGACTGCGGCTCCCATCCGGGCTCTTGCTGCGTTTCCAATCACAGGCGCCCATTTATCTGTTGACACATAGCCCGGGTTAACATTTTGTAAACCGTTACACATGGTGGACACTTGCCAAGAATTTTATATTCATTTTTTTTTTTTTTTTTTGGTACCGGGGATCGAACTCGGGTCCTTGCGCTTGCAGGGCAAGCGGCGGAACCACTGAGCTAAATCCCCAGCCCTTTTTTTTTAAACATAGCAATTTATTTTTTTCTGGTACTGGGAATTGAACTCAGGACCTTGTGCTTGCCAGGCAGGCGCAGTGCCACTGAGCTACATCCCCAGCCCAGCAGCAGTATTTTTAATAGTCCCAAGCTGGGAACAACACTTGTCCACCAAGAATGAAGTGATACATATCGTGTGAGAGTCATACAGTGAAATACAGTAGAGCTTCTCCAGTAGGTAAAGTGTGGAATCTTTATAATTTAATCTTTTTTTTTTTGAGACAAAGTCTTGCTATGTAGGTCAGGCTGGCCTCGAACTCACAGCTACCTTCCTGCCTCAGCCTCCCGTGTGCTGGGATTACAGGAGTGTGCCACCTCGCCTGGCTTTATAATTTAATCTTTTTTTATTAATGCACATTAGTTACACAGATTCACGGATCTCATTTTGGCAGAGTGGTACAGGCACATAACACGTGGATCACTTTCACTCCTCATGACCCCTCCCCACTCCCCGCCTAGTTTCACATTCTGTAGGTGGGTCCAATATACTGTTATCATTTTTAATCCTCAACATAATCTGGCGGGTTTGTTCCATTTTAAGATGAGGAGATTGAGGCTAAATAACTTCCTCAGAGTCCGCAGCTGGTCAGCTGCAGTGCAGGAGTAGAACAGTACCCAGCCTCCCTCTACTGCTTGTGACCATTTGGCAAATTTGGGAACAGATCCCGTGTCCACGAGTCAGCAGTATAACCTTGGGCGAATTAAACTCTTTGACAGCTTTCTCCTTCATCAATAAAAGGGATGGAATAGCAGATCTCAATTCCTGGAGACATAAATATTAAATGTAGCCACGCCCAGCACACGGGAAACAAATACCTGCTCTTACCAGTTGAGCTCCCGTGGTTAGTTTGTCTTGGCGACTGTAAACCAGAATGATCCGTACATGTAGGCTCTGAAGGCCCTGTGTCAGCCGTGTGTGGGCCTTATTTCCTCCTCGGTAAAAGAATAAGCTTGGGAGTGCACGCAGATGCCTGACGGGGTCTTTTATGAGCTTGGTCCGGGCTGGCTGGGGCACCCCCTTGGGGATGGAAGTCAGCGCAAGGCTGGGATAGCTGGGGGTGCTGGGAATGCTACAGGACGCTGCTGACCCTGCCATGCCCCAATGCCCCAGGATGACAAATGCCTGCCACCGGAAGTGCGTGCCACCCCACTACAAAGAGGCAGAGCTGTCCAAGGGTGAGTCGGTGTGCCTGGACCGGTGCGTCTCCAAGTACTTGGACATCCATGAGCGCATGGGCAAGAAGCTGACGGAGCTGTCCATGCAGGATGAGGAGCTGATGAAGAGGGTGCAGCAGAGCTCCGGGCCTGTGTAAGGCTGGATGTTTGCCAGGGTCAGAGGGTGTCAGCCACACTGGTATGTGTGGCTGTATGTGTACATGTGTATATATTAAACGCGCTGTTGATGCCTAGTGTGTGCAAAGCAGTGTGCTTGGAGTAAGGGAGCAAAGAAACGAGACACAGCTGGGTGTGGTGGTGCACGCCTTTAATCCCAGCACTGGAGAGGCTGAGGCAGGAGGATCACCAGGAGTCTGAGGCTAACTTGGGCTGCATAGTTAAAAACTGACTCAAAAAAAAAAGACAGCCTCTACCAGCAGAGGGCGTGCAGTGTGTTTTAAGAGTATAGACCTGCCAAAGAGCTTCGTGTGCACCTGGGGCGGCTGCTTGCTGTGTGGCCCTGAACGTGGCTCCTCTGAGCACTCATTTCGCTTATCTGGACAGTGGGGCAGTCGGGGCCGCTGTGAGGGTCGGGTGAGTTAGTCAAGCGTTGGACATACTGACTGGGTGCAGCATAATGGTTGGGTGATGGGAGGCACGACAGTATTTTTAAAAGCTTGAGCAGGGCATGGTGTGCCTACCTGTGATCCCAAGACCTGGGAGGCTGAGGCAGGAGGATCGCCGCAAATTTGAGGCCAGCCTGAGCTATGAGTTGAGATCCTGTCCCAGAAAACCAGCCAAACAACCAACTTGAAACGCAGCAGAAGCAGGCAGGCATCTTCGCGCAGAGGACGGCACAGTTCAGAGGAGAGGATGCAAAGTACTGTGTGGGATTGAAAGATAACAGTGAATGCTTAAATTGTTAAAAGGTTTATTATAGGATGAGACATTGGCCTTAGTTCCTCCCAACCCTCCCCGCACTGAGCACATCCCATGGCCCTCGCCGCTTCCTGCGGTAGCGCTGGAGTCCTCTCTCCTGAGGGTCTATAGCGGCGCTGTCCCCGAGCCCTCCGCGCCCTGCATGGATTCAGTTTCCCTCTCGTGGTCACTCTGACCCTGGGAGAAGCCAGAATCCCTTGGTGCCGGATCAGTGACTAAGGTGGGTGAGGACGTGGTGTCGCGTTTCTAGGGGCTGCCTTTGCGCTGGGTGGCGCTCGGGTACAGACCCTCAGGAAAGAGGCCTCCAGAGCTGCTGCGGGAAGTGGCGGACGGGGGGAGCAGTGTTGGAATCGAGGGGTGTTTGTGAGGGTCCCACTGAAGCGCGGCCTGCGCCTTCGCTGTTTGGCCCACACTGGGATGCTGAGGTGTGTGTTGGGGAGGGGCCCGCGGTCACGCAGCCACCCAGGCCCCTGTCACTGCAGCCAGCGCCCAGGCGACCCACCCCTGGGCACTGCCCGGGCCGCAGAAGAGCGGTGGCCAGGACGGCCGGGGCACGGTCTCCCGGGCCTGCAGCTCCCCCTGGGGGTCGCCCCGTGGCACCTGGAGACACGGGCCCCCAGGTGTCGGGGGACTGACCAGATGAAGCGGACGACAGAGGCGGTGAGTTCCGGGCTCACAGTGCAGGTGCAAGCCAGGTGATTGGACTTGTGTCTCACGTGAGATTTTCCAGCCGTGTGATCTTGGGTGAGGCGTTCGACTGCTCTGTACCTCAGTTTCCCCATCTGTGAAGTTGCTGTCAAGGTCCCTGCCTCCTTGGGTGGTTGTGATAATTAACTAGAACATCTAGAAAAGTGGCTCCACCCGTTGCTCAATAAATGACAGCTCACCTGGGCATGGTGGTGTGCGCCTGTCATCCCAGCCCCAGGAGGCTGAGGCAGGAGGATCGAGCCCAACCAGGCAACTTAGTGAGACCTTGTCTCAAAAACATTTTTTAAAGGCCTAGGGATATAGCTCAGTGCAAATCCCAAGTACCACAAAAGCAATCAGGAATCTGCCCTTTTTACTGTGACTGGCGGATGTGGACACGGGCAACCTGTGCGGGCAGCCGGGTCAAGGCGCCGTTCCTGGCCCCGAACTTCAGCCTTGGCCAGCAGGTGGCGCTGTCTGCCCAGGTCTGTGCCGCGGTGACCAATTCCACCTGTGTTAATGCATTTCTTCTGCGGGCTGAGCCCTGCGTGGGCAAAGTCCCTGCCCTCGGGTTAGCGAGGAGGAGTGGGAGGAGAGGGTGCTGTAGGAATGGCTCACACATACTGAGTTGGTATTGTGCACTAAGTGCTTCAAACATGCTTTTTCAGTCGGCCCCTGCCCTGTACTGGGGATCAAACCCATGGCCTTTGTGCTGAGCTCCAGCCCCAGCTTTTCTATTTTTATTTTATTTTAGACAGGGGCTCACTAAATTGCCAAGGCTGGGCTCAAACTTGCGATCGTCCTGCCTCAGCCTCCCAGAGTGCTGGGGTGACAGGCCCCCACCACCACGGTTGGCTTCAGTTACTCTCAGGACAACAGGCAAGAGTCTGCTCCCTTCACAAGGGAAGAACTGAAGCCCTCGCGAGTGCACGGCTTCCTGAGGCCAGGCTGGGAGCAGGCAGCACCCCCTGGTTCTGGTGTAGACCAAGGCCACTTCCGCCTCCGCACTGCTTGTTCCTGCAGCCACGTGCAGAATGCCGTGGGAAACCCCACGGTGAGGGACAGGTCCCTGCCCAGCGAGCCTGGGGTGTAGCGTGGATGGCACCCGTGGTCTCCATGGTGACAGGGAGAGAAGCCGGCCGCCTGCTCTCCGGCCTCCTGCTGATCAAGCAGCTCAGCTCGGAGCTGACTTGCAGAGAGGCTGGGTGAGGCCTCCAGCCTGCAGCCTGAGGGCACAGCACACCCCGCTCCCTCCCTGCGAGCTGGGGGACCTGCACCCCTGACCTGCTGCAGAGCCCAGAGCCCGGCTTAGCTGACGCTTTCCTGACCCATGGGAACTGAAATATAAACGTCTCAAGATCCTAGCCAGGTGTGGTGGCACATGCTTGTCACCCCAGCACTTGGGAGGCTAAGGCAGGAGGATCGCTGTGAGTTTAAGGCCAGCGTGGGTCACATAGCGAAGGCTTTGTCTCAAGAAGAAGAAAAACAGCTATGTCCAAAGCTGTGACTGTGTTCTCCTTGCTCCAGCGAGTTAGCATGCGCTCTGAGATCTTCATAAGTACATGTGTGGCTGCTGGAGACTTGTGACAAGCACTGTTTTGAGAGAAAGAAGACAAAACCCCAGTCTGGGAGGCAGGTGTTAGAAACGGGCCTTTCACAGCGCGCTAGGCGTTACGGGAGGCGCTGGGGCAGTGGGCAGGCGGCTCTGGGAAGTGAGCCCCCGGGGTGGCAGAGTTCCAGGGCGGGAGTGGGGGGGGAGGTGCCAGGCCTCCCAGTCAGGCTCTTCGGGGAAGGGACCGCCAAGGCCTGATGCCAGGTGGGAAGGAGTTTGTCCAGAGAGGCCGCAGGGCCTGTCAGGAGGTCACGCAGCCGGACCCGAGAGGCCACAGGGCAGCGGAGGGCAGCAGGCGGCGCAGTGGCCAGCCTTGGGGCCATGGACCGGACCTGCATTCCCGCCATCCCTGTGGGCTGGGTGGCCGGGCCACGCGGGGTGTGCAGGAGCCTGGGCCGGCGGGCGGCAGGGCAGTGGCAGGGCCGCGGGAGGGCAGTGCGGGGGTGAGGGGCTTGGGCAGAACACGGAGGAGCAGGGAGCGGGGCTGATGCCCCCAGGCCCAGGGCCAGCGGGAGAGGAGCTCTGAGGGTCACCGCCCGTCAGGGACCAGGGCTCGGGCTCCCAGGCCGGCTGTCCCGCCTTCTGGCTGCAGACCACCTCGTGGGCCCTCGCCCCGGTCCTGCTCTCTGGAACTGGTGGCTGTGGGGTCCTCGGGTCCTGGGTCCGCTCCTGAAGGTGGCAGATTCTACTGATTCCCGCCCAGGAGCCATCTCAGGTCGTGGCCCCTGCACTGCCCCGAGCTCAGAGCAAACCTGCCTCAGTTATGTGGGTGACCAAGGTGTGAACTGAGGGTTCAGATCGGAAACTACAGTAATTAAAGGTACCGTGTGCCCACGAACCCCTAGAGATCCGGCCCTCACTTCAAACACATGCCTCCCACCGTCCCGGCCACTTCCTGCAGCAGCTCCGGAGTCCTCTCTCCTGAGCGTCTTTATGAGATGTGATCAAAATACGATGACAGCTGCTGCTGAGTGCTGCCCAGCCCTGATGCTGTGTCCTCATCCACCTTCATCCCCTGATTTGAGGCCCCGTGACTTCCAGCTCTCCCCGAAGGTCACAACGACCTTGAAAGGTCAGTGCCTTATCAACTCAGGGCATGGAGGCTGCCAGGTCAGCACAGGCGAAGACCCTCAGGAAGGAGGACTCTAGAGCTGCTGCAGGAAGTGGCCGGGACGGTGGGAAGAGAGGGGAAGACTGAAGCGATTCACAGCAGCGTGTTTTACTGTAACACATTTTCCAAACTTCTCCGTAGTGCTCAATCACGCCGTTTGTGTTCCTGTAGCTGTGTCTCCTCCGTGACGCTCCTGGGGACACAGTGACACCTAGTGTGGAAGCCTCGTCTCAGTTATGCCTCCTGCCCTGACTCCACGTGCTCTGGAATCGGGGCCTGTGTGTCATTCCCCACCCCACCGTTAGTGCGTGACACACGAATTTGATATGATGTAATTGAAGTGCTTTAAAATTCCCTCCTTTAAAACGTGCAGTTCAGTGCACTTAGCATATTCACAAGCTGCCCGCCACTAACTGCAGCACTTTCCTCACCTAGAAGCAACCCACACCCATTAGCAGCCAGCCCTTCCTCCTGTCTCTGACCACCTGGAGTCCAGGGCCTGCCTCTGTGGGTCGCCTGCCGTGGGCGTTTCCCATAAATGCGAGCCCACGTGATCTCCGGGCTCTCGAGTATAAGGCAGCGCGACACAGGGCTTCACTCCTTCCTCAGGGTCAGGTGCAGCAGCATCACTGCATGGAGGCCCTCTGGGAGGACGGATCGCAGGCCGGCCGCACTGCTGGCTGCTGGGGTAACAGGCTGAGCGCCCCGCTGTTCTGGGTGCACATGGGGGGTGGGACTGCGGGCTGGGAACTGTCAGTCTTTGTGTCACTGTGAGGCCCACTGCCCATTAGTTACATTCTTCATGCATATTCACAGCACACGTTTGCTGGGCCGAAGAAGTGATCACGTACACAGTGGGACGAGTCAGGTGCCTGCAGGGGGCGCAGTGCCCCACCACAGCAGCACAGCTGAGGAGCCCGCCGCGGCCAGCTCTCCTTCCTCAGCAGAGAGGGGCACCAGCCCCGCCCCCTGGCCAGTGTGGCCACGCTGCTGTGCCACACTGTATCTGGGAACAGAGGCAGAGGTGACCAGGAAAGAGGAGCTAGATGCAGCTGTAGATTTTTTTTTTTTGGTACCAGGGATCGAACTCAGGTCTTTGCACTTGGGAGGCAGGCAGCGGAACCACTGAGCTAAATCCTCAGCCCCTATCGATTCTGATATGGAAGTGGTCTGGGGTCTGGCCCCCCCCTTATCTTTCCCTTTTAAAAAATTATTTATTTTTTTTATTTATTTTTCTCAGACAGGGTCTCACTATGTAGTCCAGTCTGGCCTCAAACTTTCATCAATCCTCCTGCCTCAGCCTCCTGAGAGCTGGGATTATAGGCATGCGCCACCATACCCGGCTTCTTTTTAAAGTTTTAAATGGGAGCTATTTCAATGGGCTCCTCATGGGTTTAATAGCTGCTTTCCAGTGTCTCCTCTGCTCATCAAACACAAACTTAACCACGTCTGTCCACTTCATCAGAAAGAAACAAGACCGGGGCCGGGGATTTAGCTCAGTGGTTCTGCCGCCTGCCTCGAAAGTGAAAGGACCTGAGTTCGATCCCCGGTACCAAAAAATAAAAAATAAAATAAAAAGAAACAAGACCAGCTAGGTGCTGAGGTGCATGCCTGTAATCCCAGGGCCTCAGGAGGCTGAGACAGGAGGATTGCAAGTCTGAGGTCTGCCTGGGCAATTTAGCAAGGTTCTATTTCAAAATAAAATAGAAGAAAGGGGAAGAAGGGTCCGGGGATGTGGCTCAGTATGGGGGTGGGGGGCACCCAAGAAGAAACCATTCAGGAGCTCTGGGCCACCTGCCTCCCCACACTGTAGGTCCGAGGCTTCCCGGGCCCTTCCAAGGCTATCCAGCCTACAAGTTCAGCCCCTTCCCCGCCACACCCTCTCGGTTTGCGCCACAGCTGTGTGCGGGGTGGCTCCAGGGGGGGGGCCCACGGCGAAGTCGCTCCTGCCCCAGACTTGCACGGCTCCCAAGACAACCCGGGATCCGGGCGGCTCAGGCCGGGCTCGGGCCTCTGTCCCGGCAGGAGGATGAGCAGGTGCAGGGGAGCCGGGACACAGCCCGCAAAAGGCCCCGGCCTCGGGACCCCCACCCGAGCCTGCGTGACCTGCCGTGGCTCCCACACGCGCGGTCGGAGCGGAGGGAACCCCCATCACCCTCAGGGAGACCCAGGCCCTCTGTAGCTGAACCTCTACCCTCGGCTGCTGTGCCCAGCTAAGGAGTCTCTTTCCCCTTCCGTGCTGCGGGTCGAACCCAGGGCCTTCACACTGAGCTCCAGCCCCAGCCCCCCCCCCCTTTATTGAAACCAGTTCTCACGAATTTGGTAAGTTGCCCAGACTGAGCTCAAATTTGTGACCCTCCTGCCTCAGCCTCCCAAAGTGCTGGGATTACAGGTGTGCGCCACACTCGGCTAAGGAGTTTGGCCTGGAAGTTTTGGGGGCCTCTGTGTGGTCCTGGGGATGCACCCCAGGGCCTCCCCCGCTCTGGGCAAGCGGCCAGCCTGGGCTGTCTCTCCAGCCCACCCACCCGGTGGCGCTGCACTCTAAAGTGAAACCATCGAAGGCGGCCGGCAAGGTTCCATCCTGACGTCCTCGGGATTTAGTAAGTTTGGGAAACGCGGCCCACGCAGCCGCTCCTGCTGTCCTGCCTCTCCTGGCTCGGCGGCTCTCAGGACCTGTCTGGAACTCCCAGTGGAGCTGCTCGGTTTCCCGACGGCTCCAGGGCACCCCCCCCCGCCCATCCCCCGCCCATCCCCCGCCCATCCCCCGCGCTCTTCCACGGCAGGTGCGTGGGGGCGGGGCGCGCCGGCCCTTGCCGTGACGTCATCACCGTCTCAGGATGACGCCGCCGAGGCACAGGGGGACTGGGATCCACCGGAAATCTGTCACTAGGCTGCGGGAAGCCTCCGGTCACCCGGGCTATTTATTATGCTTACTCTGCCAAGGGTCACAGCCGTATGGCACCTGTATCCTTCTTTGGTTTGTTTGCTCTTTTTTTTTTTTTTTTTTGGTACTGAGGATCGAACTAAGGACCTTGCGCTTGTGAGGCAGGCGCCGGAACCGCTGAGCTAAATCCCCAGCCCAAGGCAGTGCTTTTTTTTGGGGGGGGGTACCGGGGATCGAACTCAGGACCTTGCGCTGTTGAGGCAGGCGACGAAACCACTGAGCTAAATCCCCGACCCTTGTTTGCTCTTTTGAGCCAGGGTCTCGCCAGGTAGCTCAGACTGGCCTCGAACTCGTGGGGATCCTCCTGCCTCAGCCTCCCCAGTGCTGCGATAGCAGGCGTGCCCAACCTACCTGCATGCTGATTCCGGATGCCCCCCGCAAGTGGGCCGGTGTCTGTCGCTACCTGCAATTGCAGAGGATAAAACAGGAGCTCAGAGAGGCCACGTCAGGGCCCAGGCTCGCCCAGCCCGAGACCCGGACTCGGAGATGCAGACTCGCCGCGTGGGAAGCGCCCCGACGGCGCCCGGCCAGTCTTCGTGGACACCGGGGTTGGGTGGGGTGCAGGGGGCGCCGGGGCGGCGTCCTGGGCCGGCTGGGTCACGTGTGCGGGAAACCCGACCCGGGAGGGGAGGGGCG